AAGCTCATAAAAAAAGCCATATCCTCATCGTCAGCCGAAATAGCAAGCAATTGCAGGAACAAAGCAAAATAGCAAGCGATTCGTCTTCAAAAACAGTACCGCACCGTTTGAAGCTGAACGCTTGCGTTTCGTCTTCATCTTCGTCTTCGTCTCAGCGCGCACTATGTTTGCGGGCGAGCAAATTCATATGAATTGTTCTGCACTGTTTTTCGTCTTCAACTTCGTCATCTTTGTCTTCGTCTCAGCGCGCACTATGTTTGCAGCCTTAGACAAAATTATAATACCCTCTGCAAGGGTATAAAAATGACAGATGAAGTCGGCTAACATTCCCCGACATCGGGAGATGTTACCGATTTCAACCCCGAAGCGGCAAAAGCCGACGCAGCAGCATGGTGCAAAACGGCGAATATGATTCTAAGTAAACATCCGCAAAAAGGTGCATCCTTGGTGATGACGCTCAGCAAATCGCTGATCGGTAGTGCATCGCAGTGGCTGTCGCAGATTTGTTTTCCTGAAATGAGCTGTTGTTCGCAAATCCGAGAATTGTTCATGGAGTGCTATGAAGGCAATGAGACGCCGGCAGCAGTGTTGCTCAATATGCTCAAGAGACGTCCCAAGACTCAAGGCGCACACGTTCAGCAGAAATTTAGAATTCCCGAAAAGCAAAAAAGGAGGCCCCTGAAAAGCAGAGGTTCAAAATACAGACGCCGATTAGATGCCATAATTGCGGGAAACTTGGACATGAGGCAATGGATTGTCGCAAGAGGAGAACAAAAGAGCCAAACGAGACTAGCCAAGACCATAGCAAACACAGAACAATGACGGCACGAGAGAGATCAACGGAAACTTGTTTCAAGTGTGGCGGCGTTGAGGGGTGAAAGAGGGGTGGAAATGTGCGCATTAAATCAGCCTTATGGGACTGCAATTAAATTTGGTGCTAAGTTTCCATTTTTCTTTGATTCGGGATCTGAATGCACTCTGGTAAAAGAAACAGTCGGCGTGAAGCTAGCCGGAAAAAGAATCCATAACGTAGGCTTTGAGAGGCATAGGCGACCACGTTGTCAAAAGCAATATGCAAATTCGGTCAACCATACAAATCTATGAGTTTAAATTAGAATTGTCATTTCACGTGGCAGATAATAAGTGCCTTAAATATGAAATTATATGATAATTAGACAAGGCATTTTTGAACTTGGTTTTGGAGTGATTTAAAAAGAGATAGATTCATATCTACAGAACTCAAACTCTATTATCTCTAAATAATGACAAAAATGTAAATACGATACATTAAATAAGTAATGTAAATATGAATTTATGTAATAGTGATAAGTTCAAACTAAACGACATTGTGGCCAAATATTCCAAATTTCTCATTGATGGTACTAAAAAAATTAAATGGTAAAATTAAACCTAAAACTAGCTCATAGGTTTAGCATCATACTTTAAGAAATTTGTCCCTCATCTCTCAGAAGTGATGAAGCCTCTTTATCTGCTAACATCAAAACTTAACGATTTTGACTGGTAAGAAAAGCACGAGGAAATTAAGCTGCTAACTAAAAAATTAAGCTGCTAACTAGTGACCCCGTGTTGATTATATTCGATCCAAACTTACCAATAAAGCTGCATACGGATGCTAGCGACAATGGGTATGGCGATTTGCCATTACACATGGAAGATGGTAAGGGCCGTGTAGTTGAGTACTACAGTAAATGCACCACAATACCCGAATCAAAATATCATTCGTATGAACTCGAGACATTAGCAGTGTACAATGCGATCAGATATATCCGATATTATTTAAGCGGCAAAAAGTTTACAGTATGTACGGATTGTAATTCTGTTAGAGCAAGTCAAAAGAAAGCGGTATTGACACTGCGGGTTCATCGTTGGTGGTCATTTTGCAGTTATTCGAATTTTAGGTAGAATAAAAGAAAGGGAGCCAAATAGAAATCCCGTCACTGTAGTAGCGCAGGAAAGTTTGAGTAAGGTAGTAGAAATACGAGTTGACTTAGCAACTACAACCCACAACTGACCGAACAGAAGCGTGATCAAGACATATCGCAAATCATGACCGATTTAATTAGCGATGAAATGCAGAAAGAAATAGCTAATTCTTATGAAATCAGGTATAGTATGCTGCATCGAAAAATTTGCTTGGCAGTCGTCGGAAGGCACGATGCTTGGCAGTCGTACCCAGGGTATTTAGGTGGTCAGTTTATAATCATGTTCACGAGGCTATAATGCCCTTTGCATGGCCTCTCATATAGAGGTCATATAGACGCCCTTTGGTATATCATAAGGCCCGACTAGTCATTGCAAAGCTAAAGCTCTCGATAATGGAGGGCATGCTAACGGCTGTAAAGACGAGTGAACGATCATAGCAAGAAGCATTGGGTGAAGCACAATTGGCAATAAATTTTACCATGAACCGAGTAACTAACTATATTGCCTTAGAGTTGATTGGCAAAGAAGCGAAGCCCTTGGGAATGCTCACTGTAAATGAGGAAGAGCGAGTAGATCTGAATAAGGCTAGAAAGGAAGCAAAATAAAGTATCAGTAAGAATGCTCAGTATGGTAAGCAAGAGTAGATACAAAGTATGCTCAGGTAGTAAGGCATGAAATTGGCGATCATGTACTATTGAAAAACAAAGAACGGCACCAAACGAAGTTGGATCCAAAATTAGAGGGATCATTCGAAATTTTGCAATTGCTAGATGGTGACCTTTGCTTGTTAAAATCATTAAGAACTAGACTAGTGTATAAATATTGACATGATAGTGTAAAGATCGAGAAGACTTTGGAATTGGCGGAAGAGCATGACGACGCGTATTCGTACACCTACACAGGTTGAAGGTTGGCTCTCGAAGCCCTGAAGGAGCTAAGGATCCCGGAGTACCTGTTGAAGATGGTGGACTACTTGAGTGACAGAATACTCCTGTACGACACGCGGGAAGGCCAGAAAGAGCGAGTGGTCTCCGCCGGAGTGCCGCAGGGCTCTGTGCTAGGCCCGCTCTTGTGGAAAACGATGTATGATGGAGTACTCCGATTACCCATGGAGGAGGGTACTACCATCGTAGGATTCGCCGACGACATAGCCATAGTGGTGGGGCGAAGACTGTTCGCGTGGTGTAAACCCAAACAAACTCCGCGGTGGCGAACGTGCAGGCATGGCTGTCTAGGGCCGGCCTTTCAGTTCGCTCCACAAAAGACGGAAGCAGTGCTAATTTCGAGCCGGAAGAAGGTTGAAACAGCTACAGTTCACGTAGGAGGAGCGGCCGGTACCTCGGGGAGAGCTATAAAATATATGGGGGTCTGGCTTGATACAAGGCTCTCGTTCCGGGAGCACCTCGAGTACGCCCACAGGAGGGCGAGCGAGACGACGAGGGCCCTCTCGCGGATGCTCCTCAACATCAGAGGCCCGAGGCAGGAAAGGCGCAAGCTCATCACTAGCGTGGTGAGCTCCCAAATTCTGTACGCTGCCCCAGTGTGGGCCGAGGCGATGGGAGTAAGGTCCTATGCACAAGGAATCGAGGCAGACTACCGCCTTTGCGCGCTACGGACGTCCTGCGCCTTCAGGACGGTGTCGGACGACGCGGCCCTCGTGATCGCAGGTCTGATACCCATACAAGAGCTGGTCCGAGAGAGGAAGGAGCTGGCCAACATGGCTCAGCCCCTCATCGGCGTCGGCCAGGAAGAGGGAAGCGAGAGCCACAAGCTTGTCCAACTGGCAACGGCGATGGAAGGCATCATCCAAGGGACGCTGGACGTTTCGTCTCATTCCGGACGTGGGAGAGTGGACCGGAAGAAAGCAAGGCCAGGTAGACTTTTACCTCACACAGGCCCTCAGTGGGCATGGTTGCTTCCGAAGCTACCTAGCGTTTTGGCCATGAAAGTGAGGACTGCTGCCCGTCGTGCGGCAGTGGAGTGACAGAGGACGCACTCCACGTCCTCTTCGATTGCAGGTGATTTAAGGAGGATCGCCTAACCCTGGAGGAGATCCTGGAAGAGGCCTTTACACCCAGCAGCATGGTGCCTCAAATGCTCCAGGCGCCGGTCAAATGGGAAGCTATAGCCGTAGTTGTGGCCAAGATAATGACGGAGCTGAGAGCCCTGGAGAGGGCGCGCAATGGGCGGGAGGAGTAGGGCTCCAGAGGGGTGCGAAGCATTATTGCTTCACGGTCGTACCGCACTACTTATGTCCATGCTCCATATTTTTATATTTATTTGTCCATATTTGTCCATATTTATATTTATATTTATATTTATATTTATATTTATATTTATATTTATATTTATATTTATATTTATATTTATATTTATATTTATATTTATATTTATATTTATATTTATATTTATATTTATATTTATATTTATATTTATATTTATATTTATATTTATATTTATATTTATATTTATATTTATATTTATATTTATATTTATATTTATATTTATATTTATATTTATATTTATATTTATATTTATATTTATATTTATATTTATATTTATATTTATATTTATATTTATATTTATATTTATATTTATATTTATATTTATATTTATATTTATATTTATATTTATATTTATATTTATATTTATATTTATATTTATATTTATATTTATATTTATATTTATATTTATATTTATATTTATATTTATATTTATATTTATATTTATATTTATATTTATATTTATATTTATATTTATGTGAGGAGAGTATTTAACTCCACTCAGTTTTATTAAAGATAGTTATGTGTATTAAATGTTACAGATTCTGATTCCTTATATTTTATAATTAAGATAATTTCTGCTGCTGCTTTCCGTCGTTCTCTCTGCTGTTGCTGCTTCCTCGATGCTGCCCTCTCGACGCTTTTCCTCTAAGTTGCCATACTGCTGATCTTCATACTGCTGCCATACTGCTGATTTTTAACACTGCTGCCATACTGCTGATTTTATACTGCTGCTGTTACATCTTCCACTCTCTTACATTCGGCCATTCCTGACTAGTCATCTGTCCCAGATGACCAAGCGTCTTCATTATCCTTTACATAACGCCACAGCTTCATGTGATCACAGCAGGTTGAAGTGTTACATGGGCCTTCTACATCCGCAGCCTTCCGCACTTCGTATCTGCCGTTCCTGTTAACTTTTGATATTTCATACGGTCCCAGATATTCTCCAGCCAGCTTTTTCCCTGCAATAAACTGTGTCCGGCGTATAGCGACTAAGTCTCCAACTTTATAATTGACTTCTGGTTTACGCCTTAGGTCATAGTACTTTTTGTAGGCATCCTGTGCACGTTGAATTTCGATCTTTGCATCTTTTCTAAGTTGCTGCCGTTGCTCGTCGAAGTTTGAATACATCTCCTCATCTAGAAGCTGCAGAATACGATGGGTTGGATTATTGTTCATCTTCACACCAAACATTAGCTCAAATGGTGACTTCTTAGTAGAAGCATGTACGTGGGAATTAACAGCTCTCTGCACCTCAGGTACTGCCTTAAACCACTTGGCTGGATCATCTGCCGAAATCTTAGAAATAATCGACAATATCGTGCGATTCACCCTCTCGATCTGACCATTTCCGCGGGGAACTCCAGTTGTGCTTAAAACGTGTTCAATACCGTTTTCCTTCATGTAATCTGCAAACAAGTTGGCTGTGAAAGCAGAACCTCTGTCTGAAACTATCCGCACTGGGTTGCCAAAAATTTCGGACCAAGTCTTAACCTTCTTCAGCGTTTCCTCGCAGCTTGCAGTCTTTGTAGGAAAAAGCCATATAAACTTTGTGAATGAGTCCACCATCGCAAATATGTATTTATATTGTTTTCCAGTGGCATCCATGGGAGCCAGATGATCAACATGCAGCGTGTGAAGGGGTTGATCACCTTTATCGATACAGTTTAAAAAGCCTTCTTTCTTGCCAAGTTTCTTGTTAAAAATTATGCATCTTACACAATTGTTTACCACATGCTGAACTTTTTGCTCCAAATGAGGAATCCAATAGGATTGTTGAATAGTATGTAGAGTTTTTTGTAGTGAAAAGTGGCCTGCATTATGGGCGTCAACAATGACTTCTTTTTCCATTGCTTTCGGGACTACGAGGAGATCGTTACCATTCACCTCCTTATAGACAAGTGAAGCTTTTATCTTGTACCCCTCGTATGGGCGGCTTTTGAGAATTTCCACAATTGCTTTCAGCATATCATCTTTTCTTTGAGCGTTTTTGATGCGTGCTGTGATCTCTAAGGAGACAAGCATAACCCGATCAGGATAGCGACTTAGGCAGTCAACATGCTTTAATCGTTCTCCAGGACGATGTTCCACTGTAAAAACGAAATCTTGTAGATAAACAATCCACTGCGTGACTGCTCTTGGTATATCCGCCTTCTGTAGAGTTTGTTTAAAAGCGACACAATCCGTTATCAGCTTAAACGGCGATCCCAGCAGATAATGTCTGAATTTTTGTACCGCTAGATACACGGCTTTGGCTTCCAGGATATAACTGTGCTGGCGGGACTCAGCTCCTGTTGTCTTCTTGCTCCAATACTGGATAGGGTGAAGTTTGTCATCGAACCACTGCATTAATACCGCTGCAAATCCGTCTTTTGATGCGTCTGTATGTAACTCAGTTTTAGCTCCTCTGGTGTACAATTTCAAAACAGGTTCCTTTGTCAACGCATCCTTCAAACTCCGGAACGCGTTCATCTGAGGCTCAGCCATTTGGAAACGAACATCTTTGCGCAGCAGGTCAGTTAACGGGCGTGCAATTTGCGAATAATTCTGAATAAATTTTCTGAAAAATCCCGTCAGCCCCAGAAAAGCTTGGACTGCTCTGACGTTTTTCGGCACCGAAAATTTGCTGACCGCTGCAGTCTTCTCTTGTCCAGGCCACAGGTTTCCGTCTTCAATGTTGTGGCCCAAGAAGTAAATTCTTCTCTGCAAGAAGTGACATTTTCGCCACTTGATCTTCAGGCCAAACGCCCCAGCTCTTTTAAAGACGAGTGCCATCTTTTGCAAACATTGCTCTGCAGTCTCGGCGTGGATTATTATATCATCCATATATAAATCGAGTATGTCCTTGTTCATCAGCTCCTGAAATACGTAATTAACGTAGCGAATGAATACAGCTGGCGAATTCCGAAATCCAAACGGTGTTCTATTGAATTCGTACAATCCGGATTTGGTTATAAACGCTGTAAATTTCTTGCTCTCTTCCTCAATGGCAACGTGGAAGAAACCATTCTCCAAGTCCATCACGGTAAAGTATCTCGCTTTTTGCAGCTTTTGAAGTACGTCCTCTATAACAGGGACAGGAAAACAATCTCTCAATACCATCGAGTTCAGCTTACGAAAATCAACGCAAACACGGTGTGTGCCATCCTTTTTGTTTACCAGCACCAGACGGCTAGCAAAGTTTGATGTAGATGGGCGTATAATTCCAGCAGATAGCCATTCTACGATCTGCTGTTCGACATCCTGTTGTTCGGCAATCGCAAATCGACTCGGAGATTGACGAAATGGGATAATCTCACCATCTGGAACAATTCGCAGCTTGACTGGAACCTCTGCTACTGAATCCACCGCCTTGTAGTTCTTGATCAGCATTGATACTTCCTTTTTATACTGCGTAGGAACATCGCTTTCATCATTTGTATTAACAATACTATAAATACTCATCTCATTCGGTTCCTCACAAGCTTTCTTCCCATGCGGGGAAGAAAACTTGTATCCCTCTGGCGACAGCGAAAGATTGAACTTTGAAACAAAATCGAATCCAAGCAATGCGTCATACTCCATATTTTCATCCTCTACAACAACGAACTTGTGTTGGGTTATCTCGTGATCTACTGCAACCTCAGCAAAAAAGCATCCCTCTGGGTACGTGATCTTCTTTCCTAGTCCGCGGAGCGTCGATGTACATCTCTCCAAGAAGACATTTGGGATTTTGTTAAAGATGAACTTTCTCAATATAGATACATCAGCTCCAGTATCCACTAGGCACTCCACTTCGACGTCGTTGATGATGACCTTTTTCATCCGTCTTCCGCTGCGCACAACTTGGACACCAGCAGCTGACCTAGGGCAATCTCTAGACATGTGTCCTTCTTTGTTGCAACTGAAGCATTTCGTGGCGGCTTTGCAATCCTTGCGAAGATGATCAGCTGATCCACAATTAAAACAGTAGCTCTTTCGGTCGTTGAACTCGTACTGTTTTTTTTGATTCGGCGTCCATTTTGCATCATTCAGCTGGAACGGCTTGAAGCTCTTTTCGTTGACGCGTTCAAATACGTCATATTGCTCCTGCAGCTCTTTGAAAGACTTGCAATTGTACAGGGTGTATTTGAAGTCACTCCTTAAGTTCAGGCCGTCTACTATGTAGCGGATTACAGAACTTGCATCGATGCTGCCAAGTGCTGCAATCTTTCTCATCTGAAGAATATATTCGTGAAATGATTCCTGCTTGCGTTTCTTGCGATCCCGAAGCTGCTCGTGAAGATCTGCACTGCATACGTATTGACGACTAAACTCTGCCTGCAGCAACATCCGCATCTCTGTGTATTGGTGTACGTAAGTCGAATCCAAAAACAATTTAGCCGTTTTCGTCATTTTGGCACGTGCCTGTACATACATCTGCTTTAAGTTCAAATCGTAAGCTTCAGCATTCAGCTCGAAATTGTCAAACCAATTCTTGACCGGCATGGATTCACCGTCAAACTCCGGAATTATTTTCGCGAAACTTTCCGCTGTAACTGAGCAACGGCTATTTTGTTCATCTGCTCCCATTTTTAATGCCATAAGCTGAACAAGATCCTGCAGCGTTTTTGTGTTCTCGGCGATCGAACAGCTTGCAATTGCCTCAGCTGCGACATTTGTTCCTCCATTCGATTCCACGGGATTCTGTACGTTGCTTTGTGTTTTAGTCACACTTGCTTCGACGAGACTCTGCACGTAGCTCTTTGTCTCACTCATATTTTTTTCTCCACTTGCTTCAACGTTTCTCTCCGGCTCAATCATTTTCCGATTTTTATCTGCTGCGGCAACTGATCTTGTGTAGTACGGCTGTTTTCCTTTCGCAATTGGTATTCTAGAAGTCTCCTGCTGTCTGGACTTTTCACTCATTTGCTCTCATTCCCTTTTGTGATCCAACTTCTTCACTTTTAAAGACTTTTCGGGACGGCGTCACTTTGTAATTTTCTGGTTAGGACGAGCCCCCAAATGTGAGGAGAGTATTTAACTCCACTCAGTTTTATTAAAGATAGTTATGTGTATTAAATGTTACAGATTCTGATTCCTTATATTTTATAATTAAGATAATTTCTGCTGCTGCTTTCCGTCGTTCTCTCTGCTGTTGCTGCTTCCTCGATGCTGCCCTCTCGACGCTTTTCCTCTAAGTTGCCATACTGCTGATCTTCATACTGCTGCCATACTGCTGATTTTTAACACTGCTGCCATACTGCTGATTTTATACTGCTGCTGTTACATCTTCCACTCTCTTACATTTATATTTATATTTATATTTATATTTTATATTTATATTTATATTTATATTTATATTTATATTTATATTTATATTTATATTTATATTTATATTTATATTTATATTTATATTTATATTTATATTTATATTTATATTTATATTTATATTTATATTTATATTTATATTTATATTTATATTTATATTTATATTTATATTTATATTTATATTTATATTTATATTTATATTTATATTTATATTTATATTTATATTTATATTTATATTTATATTTATATATTATATTTGACCGCGTTATATTCACTGGAAGACGCCCCCGACTTTTTTATTCAACATTTCAACTCCTGGAACCTTTTGCGGCAACAACGCCCCCCTACAGACATTCCTTCGAGCCGAAGAATTCCTGGATTTTCTTCTGCCAGCAGTTCCCGGCATTGTTCCGTCAAAAGATAAGTACATTTTTCCGGCTTCTTCTCTCTGCCGGTCTTCAGCAGTGGTCCGAACATTAAATTTCGTTCACACTGCTGCAAGATTATTTTTCCCTCCGTGTCAACTCCAAGTCCGAGTTTTCCAACACAACGGCAGTTTGAGATTTTCTTCAAATTTTTCTATCCGTCTCCGTTTTGTATGCTGCCCATATTTCTCGCCGTTTTCGGCCTCTCCGTTATCCATTCGCTTGCCAACGGTCGAGGCATATGTGCATTCACATACATACATACACACATACATATTTTTTTGGTGCAATTAATCCGCGAAAAATTCGCAAGTGAACAGTGAAATTGTGGTGATGTGGTGATGGTGAACAGTGATGTGGTGACAAAAAGAAGGCATAATTAATATTAGCCAGCCGGTGTGAATTAGATCCGGAATTTCCAAATTCACCGAACAATCTGCCGCTGTCGTAATATTTGTTTTTATCTTCCCCAATCAGTGTCATTTTTTACACCACATAACTTTTCTGTTCCCCCAACTATACATATATGCCCTTACATTATCCGTACCTGCAAGTTAAATTGTTTGTAGTTCGGTGAATTAAAAAAATGTAAATTTTATTTTTTAATTACACAACTTGGTGTTAAACCTTTATTTATTAAACGTAACAATTACAAGACACTTTTGATTTTTCTTAAATATTTTTTGTCAACCGTTCGCGGTCTTGGTCAAAAAGGGACTGACTTCTTAATTCTACATCTGATCCAAAGAACCTCGGCCATCAGTTGTGTTTAGATTAGAGGCTTAAGATGAAACTGTCGCATCTTATTGTGAAATTCGATTAAGCTGATCGATGCAATTTGGTGGGTACTTGAAACGCAAAAGGCGTAATTGATTGGGCTTCGGAGGGAAGCTGATGTTTACTTTTGATTTTGATTTGTTTATGGGGAACCGAGATCGGACCTCAGAGCCAAAGACAAAGCCGATGGCAAATGCAGAGTTTGAAAATATTGTTTATAAAATTCATAAGTGGAAAGCCATAAGTGGCCTGGATTTATGGGTTGGATAATTGAGCCAAAGATCAAGCCAAAGGCAAATGCAGAGATTGAAAATAATGTTTATAAAAGCCATAAGTGGTCTGTATTTAGGGGTTGGATAACTCTCCCCCTTCTAAAATGGATCGTTCCGATTCAATATGAAATTCGTTTAAATTATCTCTTAATTCTGTTAATAAATTTTCTTGGTTAATAGATTTATCTGGTTCAGGCCGATGTTTTTTGGTTACAAATAATATAGCATTTTTGTATTTTATAATAAGTAAAAGAATCAAATATATAATGATTAAAATTAATAATATAAAGGTAAGTGATATTTTAGTATTCTTAATTTTAACGAAAGGGTTAAAAATGTTTATATTATCTAAAGAAAGATCAGAGTTATTTGATATTATGTAATCGGATATTTCATAATTTTTAAAGTGGTTCGTAGTTATGTATTCAAGAATTTTATTTTCCAAATTGGTATATGAGATATTATTAATTTTAGTTGTACCATTAAATGTTATTAAAAACGAACCGTTTAAATGGGAGTTGTTAACAATATTATTCCCATTTATAAGAATGGCACCATCTTGTATGATGTCTATTTTTTTATTTTTTTCTCTTATTTTTTTACAGGTTGATTTCTTACCATTTAATAATCGGGTAAAACAAGTTTTTTTGTTACTTAGAGTGCAATAATTATTAAAAAGTTCGTTCTTAAAATTAGACATTTCGTAAAAAATATTTTCGCATTTTGCGACTTGATTGCTTAATACTAGTTTTCCATCGATTTGGGAAATCGCTCTAGCGTGATATATTTCACATCTGTTTTTTATTATTGGGTATTTTATATAAATTATTAAAAGTTCTTTATGCAATGCGATTTTAAAAGAAGAGATGTCCATTAAATCAGCTATAATTATTGGTTTTTGTTCATGTTTTAATATTTTGGTATTAAAAACGTCTATTTTTGCTAGAATGATTGTGTCAATTAAATTTTGCAGATCAAATGTTAATAATCGCAAGCGATGTTTTCGAAGTGGTAGATCTTGATCAATAAATACTTTTTTAAAATCATCGGAAAGAGATTCTATTTCTTTGAATAATCGGGAATTGATAATAGACTGCTTATTATTGTTTTCAATTAATTCATTATTTTATTCTGAACTGTAATAAAATCATCATGGTCCGGAGTTCCAGCTAACCATTTTCACACGGTGCCTAACTCATTTATCCCTCTTTTTGATCTAGTTGATATTAATTGTGATAAAATTAGGTTTATTACTTTTATGTCATATTTAATTTCCCATTGTGACCTTTTATTAGTATCCCTTTTAATATTATCTGATTCCAAATTTATTATTTCTTTATATAAGCTTAAGTTAGTTACATGGAATAAATCTGCATATGAATCGTACGTCAATACGTCTTTATTGTACTTAAATAGAAGATATTCGTGACTTGTATAGTCAATTATTTCTGATTTTGTTAATAAAATAAGGTGTAATATGAGCACCTGATAAAACATTTTCTGGGAAAGGAAAGAAAAAAAGGATGATATTTAAATACTTAGAATTTTATATTATCTTTGTGAATAATTCTATTTCTATTGTTTATTATTATTTTTTGGGTAAATTTTCTTTAACTATTTGTTTTTTATATCTGGTTTTAAGTTTATTTCTTTCCCCGTATTTCTTTTCATAGACTACCTGTCCTACATAATATTCTTTTTCTTTTCTGTTTTCATTATGTGTTTCCAACATTTTCTCTTGAGTATTTTTCAAAAGTTCAGGAATGTTATCGTGCTCTACTTTATTATATAGTACGTCGTGCTCTACTTTATTATATAGTAAAGGTTTTTGGTTCGTTGTAGAATGAATGCTCTGATTATATTCTTGAGCGGCTCTTATTACTATTTCGGAAAAGTCAGTTAAATTAAATTCTTCTTTAATGCATCGAGCTTATTCTGTTAATGTAGAATGTGCCCTTTCAACCTATCCGTTTGACGTGCTGTGCCTCGGGTCTGCGTAATGTAAAGTTAAATTGCACCTTTGTGCGAAAGATTTAAATTGCGCCGAGGTAAAGCTCGGTTCATTATCGGTCATTATTACTTTTGCTTGTGGAAAATGTTGAAGAAGTTCCATTACTTTATTTTCGATATTTAATTTATTTTGGATTTCTCTTACTACTAGAAATTTTGAGTAAGCGTCAATACAAGTTATGAAAGTAAGACCTTGCGCGTAATATACCTGGTCGAAATAAATATTGGGACACTTTATTTTTTTAAATAAAATTGTAAATGATTTTTAATTTTTTTTGTTTTTATTTTATTTGTAAATATAGAGAAGAAATGCATTAAAAACAGATACAACTTTTTTATTTTACTGATCCTTTTCACGAAAATTGTATTGTTATGTTAGCTCCCTTAGAAATAATTATTGGGACACTGTAAAGAAAATAATTTTTAAAAAATTTATAATTGTAGAAAAAAAATGTATTTTCTTACCTAATAGTGGGTATTGCCTCCGTGCTTTGAAATTACTTCAGCCAAGCGTTTAGACATTAAATTAGCCAAATCCTGCAATGTTTTTCTTCGATTTTGGCCTATTCTTCAACAAAACCCTTCTTGAGCTGTGCCAAATTTTCAAACTGTCGTCCATTGCTGTATACTATATTTGAGAGTATACCCCACACATTCTAAATCGGGTTTAGGTCGGGACTACAAGCTGGCCACCCCAAAAGTTCAATTTTTAATCCTCAAAAAACTGCTTTGACACTTTGGATACGTGGAAAATTAACTTTTTCTGAAAATAAGTTTCGCCAAACGGTATCAAAACGTCGTCCATTAGTCTTATGACCATCTGAGAATTCATTCGTGTTAATAAAAAACATATAGAGGATCTTCCGGCGTATCCAAATGCGGCCCATACCATCAGTGACCCACCTCCAATATTGCGAGTATAGCAGGACTTGCGTTCACGGCGGATATCTCTCTAGGACATCAT